AAATTAAGAGAGGAGTTGGAGAACATCAGGCTGAAAACAAGTCAGGAGATAGACAACCTGCAGAGAACCTCCAGGGAGATGTATGAGAGGGAAAACAGGTATCAGCGTCTTTTAGTATAACTGCTGAAAAACTGAATATCAGGGGTGCTGTTTAAACCAAGTAAAGTCAAACATTATTCATTACTCATTAAGAGTCAGTGAGTGGTTTATAATTACAAATTGAAGCATTGCATTAGGGAAGAGACTGGTGACTCAATGATGTTGTGGTTTACAAATTCACCTAAAAAGCAAAAGATCCCCGGGAGGAGGAGAAGAAACAAGACATCAAACCTAAATATTTGCATTGTTAAAATATGTAGAGCTACTTGTGGTGAATTAGAGAACAGCAAAAAGTAGAATAATTGTGCACACACTACACTTGGTCTTTTTATTTTTCATCTTATCTAACATAGAGTAAAGCAATTTTCGCAGTAAACTTCACCCTGATCCTTTGTGAGTGTGTAAGTTGTGTGATTATATACTTATTCGTGTCAACTTAATGTTTCTTTTCTTTTCTTTTTTTTTCTTTATATATACATGTTCAAAAAAAGGTCAGTAAAATAACATAACATTTGTCTGTTACTGTATTTACTTGTGCCTACACAGATATTTAAGAGAAGAAAGAGCTGTTACAATGTTACAATGTAACAGTACCTCAAAAACTAAGAAAATAGCAGCATCTCTTTGAATGATTAAAATCATTGCTTTCCACAGGAATGAGAGTGTCTTTCAACTGTGTGCGTGTGTGTGTGTGTGTTTGATCAGGAACTTGCGCGAGGCCAGAGACGGCGCGGTGCTGGAGAGAGACCGAGCAGTGGCTGCTGAGAGAGACGCCCAGTCCAGATATGACCAACTGCTGGAGCAGTGAGTTTTATCATCTGTCACATGCTTAAAGCGCAACACTGACATGTTTTGTTTTTTCCCCTGTCACTCGATGACATGCACAGAAGTCAGAAGTCTCCCTTTAGGTCATTTTTGTAGCCAAGAAGATAAGTGGAAGTTATTTTATTGATTATTAATAAAATTCTCTCAGTCTTAATTTGATTAAAAAACAAAGAGAGAGAGTGCTAAAAAAAGTAAGTGGGAAAATGGAACTGTCTGTGCACCTTGTTAAATGCATGTTACGGGTAACTTCTTTTATTTTTTCTTGTATAAACTAGATTTTTAATGCGGTTCAAAATGGGAGGTTTTAAATAACATGAAAACTGGTAGTTTTAGAATAAATATCAACATTTTTATCCGTGCAAGCAGCGATATAATGAGTACAAATTCTTAGTTACAATTGAAAATACCACACATGAAAGTTGGAAAAAAGTGCTTGGTCACATGATTACATACTTTAGACCAGCGGTCCCCAACCCCCGGGCCTCGGACCGGTACCGGTCCGTGAGTCGTTTGGT